CTTCTTGGAGAAATGTCTCTTCAAAGCCATTTTCAATTGGGCTGTTGAGTTTTTAAGCTTCTTTATACATGCTAGATGTAATTCCCTTTCCAGATACATGATCTGTAATTTTTCTCTCCCATTCTACAGGTTACCTTCTCATGTCCTTGGTCACATCCTTCAAAGCACAGAAACTTTTGATGTTCAACTTACCTAGATTTTTTTCTCACTGAGACTTATTTTTACTATTTCCTAAAATATGAAAATGGCATAGGGTTTATGTGGAATCAGTTTATTTACTAAAAAGCTAAAGGAATATTTGGAAATAAGTCTAGGATGTTTTTGCTCCATTTTTGGAGCAAAAACATCCTAGACTTATTGCAGTTCTATTAGTACTTTCATTAGCAGGACAGAACTCTAGGTAGTTGGATGACCAAATATGTTTTAGGGGAAACTACAATGTTTTTACCTACATTTTTATTAAAAGAAAAAATCATGTGAGCTTCAATTTATGCTATGAAAATAATGTATAGCTCGTGGTCACTACTAATAACACTTCTTATTGCCAGGAGAGCCCTCATGAAACATTTTTGGAGCATATTTGATAGTACAAAAGTGAAATATAGTAATTAAGATTTGTGTTCTATTGATTGTGTAGCTTATGTAATTTTTCATTACTTACATAAGATTTAATAAATATAAGTAGTTAAAGATTCTGACTTGGCACTAGTCATTAGCATGTAATTGAACTAGTAAAAAAGATCAGTTAAAGCTGTGTTGATTACCACCTTATCTTTGAAAGGCAATTAAAGACCTCAATCATTGCAACAAGATTTGATTGTGCAGCCTGTATTGGACATTGATCTTTCAGCAAAGTGCAGTTACATTTTCCATTAATTTACAGTAACACAGTTTAACTGATACCCTAGACTGTTGACCCAGGTGAGGTGTAATGCTAAGTACTTGTTTAGATTAAGATACTCCCAAACATCATTACTCTCTCAATGCTGAGTGATGAAAAAAAGGAGATACCTGATCTTCTAGCTTTAGGATAAGGTTTCTGTCATGTGCCTTCACTTTTAAGCAAAGTGAACTCAGGATCCTTACCTCCTATGCCACCCCACTTATTCAAATGTTTCATTCTTTAGTAGATGGAAAAATGTTTCATGAGAAATTATATTCTGTGCTTACAGTTTTGGGTGAACATAAATGGAAATAACATATTTCAATAGATATTCCTTTTAAAAATTAAAAATGTTCTGAATTTTACTGAAGTAAAGCTCCTCCCCTTTATTTTTACTGTCCACACAAGTGTTTATTTGTCATGAGAATCTAAGTATTCCACAGCCCACATATTCATGTTTCACAGTTCAGAAACGTCTATGGAACTCAATCCAAAGAAACCTTTTTATCCCTACATCACTTTGCACTTTGAAAGATACCAGCCTTCCTCATTTCTTCAAAATCTCTCATGGAATCATAATTTCTGTAGAAACTGGCATATGCCTTCTTTCTTGGTTCAGCCGCACCAAACTTATACAGAGCTGCAAGCCCCAAGGAGACAACGAACGCTTCAACAATATGAATCCGCAGGCGCCTGGCCAGAAGCCCCACATCTGGGGTTTTGCCAACACACCGGAACTCATGGTCGTTACGTCCTCCACACCAATCCTGAAGTAAAATCTTAGCAAAGCATTAATAGTCAAATATGTGTGAAAAAAATTATATATATATATAAAATCCCTGGAACCAGAGATTGAACTCAGGCCCTTGTGCTTGCCAGGGAAGCACTTATTCTACTGAGCCATTTCCCCGGCCCCCCAAAAATAAATTTTAACATTTGTACAATTTGGTATGGTAGGACACCAACATCGAAAAACCAGGGCTTTCTATATGGGCATCCACTTCCATATTTCTAATTGTGTTACTGTGTCTTTATAGTAGTTTACAACCTACAGAGAAACTAGGAATTGTCTCCCAAAACTTGATAATTGATTTGAGTAGGAATGACAAGAGGGACCCAGGAGATGGCTCAGTGGCACAAGCGCCTGCCTTCCAAGCGCAAGGTCCCAAAGTTCTATTGCCAGTACCAAAAATAAATAAAAGAAAAAAATATATATATAAAGAAATAACAAGAGACAGAATACAATGTTTTGTACTAAAAACACATCTTCATCAACAAAAAAAATTGCCTGGGTATGGGAACACATGCCTGTAATCCCAGCGCTCAAGAGGCTGAGGCAGAAGGATCATCATTGCAAGTTTGAGGCCAGCCTGGGCTACAAAATGAATGGAAGAACAGCCTGAAAAGCATAGTGAGATCCTGTTTCAAAAAGACAAAAACAATTGTTTTTGTTGTTCCGGATTATTTTATTTTATTTTTATTATTATTATTTTTTTTTATTTTTTATTTGTGTGTGTGTGTGTGTGTGTGTGTGTGTGTGGCCAGCTCAGCCCACCAGGGGGCGGGGCTGGCTGGCATGTGGTGCTGGGGGATTGAACCGCGGTCCCTGATGCTTTGCTAAGCTTGTTCTAAGTAGGTGCTTTAGACCACTGAGCCATCTCACCAGCCCATGGATTATTTTAAAGAGCCCAGTAAAATATAGGCAGCAAATGTGATTTCACTAACCAAGAAAGGAGGGAAGAAGGGAGGAGGGCTCACTCCGGTCCCTCCTTGTCATCTTAGGTCATGAGGCACTGGCACAGATGCACGCAAACTGTCTTTGATTTATCTCCCTCTTCTCCCATTTGTGAAATTCTTTTACTGATGAAGTCCATTATAAACACAAATACAAGGAACACAGGGATGTGGATTTTAAACATAGATCTTTTACTAAAATAAAACAATTGTGCTTCCAAGAATAATCATGATACACTTTAAGGTAGAAGGGTGTCTTGTTTTGTTCTCAGATTACAAGTGGAAAAACCAAGACACAAAAGGAGTAATTAGCCATAGGTCAAAAAGATAGCGCTGACACTTAAAATAGACTCGGTCTCCTGGATCTCAGCATTCCCTCGATCCCGTTTACAGCACAACGCTTCTACGTAACATGCAGCTTTAAAGAAGCAATTTAAACCTTTACCATTCATCGGGAGGTAACTTTCATATTAAAAGGTTCACTACAAGACTTAATAAATCCAATGAATGATATTTTAAATTTTGAACTATGCCCTTAACCATCGTTCAGTTCATCCTTCACCACGATCAACTCTGTGAGAGCAAGAGGTCTATTGATTTTCATGTAATACAAGAAAATATTACATTTACTTAATTGTTACACAGTGAGCACATCAGACAAGAAATCAAGGCTCTATTTAATGCTGTAAGCAGCAAAGAATTACAGAGATCAATATGGTAGTTTGTCAAAGATGTTCTCCAAGGAGACTTACCTATCACCATATGGACAAGAAGTCACACTGACTGTAGCTATTGAAAAACAGGTAAGCAGAGTCAGCAGTACAAATTATCAGAAATCAAACAGGCCAGTGTGAAAAGAGGTACAACTGTACTGAAAAGCTGCATTTATAGTCTGGTAATTAAAAACCATTTTATCAGCCTTGTGCTGGGACCAAACCATTACAGGAGGTATTGACAAGATGAGCAGCAATGAATGAGCAGTATTTGACTTAGAACTTATGAGCTATAGTTATTTAACTTTGTCCATTACAGATGAAATCAGTTCTAGCTTTCCTTGCGAAATGCTAATAGTGTTTTATTATTAATGAAGCTTAATGTAACACTATCTTCTTTGTCTAAGCCATTCATTTAACTGGTGTCAAGTATATTCTTCTGGACTAAATATATTGGCATAGGTACTTCTTTGATTAAAGTGTTATTTAGAATTGCTTTTAGACAAGTGAATATTACGTATATTTGAAGAGCAGTTCACTCTCTGTAGTACATTTTAAGTAACTACTTTTGTGGAAGCCAGTTTGTATTAGTTCATTAATTGCTTCTTTCTCTACTGACTTGCCAGGAGTAAGCATCCAGTGTTGGTTATATTCAATTTTATAAAATGTCTTCCTATAAAAATGTGTAAATGTGGCAGAGTATCAGCAACACATTAACATAAAATGATATATAATGTATGTTTGTAATTATAGGAGAGATCATAAATCTTAAACACCCATTGGTTTAGAAATTAAATAGTTCTTAGTTCTCCCTAAATTACTCCAAATTTCTGAAATTTACCATTTGCCTGGGTATTTTGCGACTATCCCCAAGGATAAATTTTTTAAATGACTTTGCTTTCAAAAATGCAATTAACTTAATAAAATTCTAATGCAAAAGTGCCATCAAGTCTTTAAAATTTCAGCCCACTCTCCATTGCCAAGAAGACTATGGATATGTATCATTTCAGTTAATTGCTTTTATAAACAGTTGCCAAATTTATTTTTCTGGGTCTTTCTATAACTTAATTGTTCTTATAGCTTTATTGGGATGCTATTTTAACTTTTACTGAGTCTTAATTTCATTCCCTTTGATGCACTTATATTAACCAGAGTTGTTATTACATTTAAAAATACCAGGGCATTAGCTTCTCTAAGCAACAGGACGTTTCAGCATTTTATCCCAACCCCCTTCAACATGTAAATGGTACAAGGGATTTAAAACATTTCCATGCCAAATCCTGGCAAATGAATGATTTAGACTACATACTGCAATTAGATGCTCCTCAATTTTTAGATTTGCCAATGATATTATCTCTACCATGTACCCTAATATCCTCTGCTTTTTCTCCAGACATTATATAGAAGATTTCCCTCTTTTCTTTTCTGTGGGCTTCTGCATTTTTTCTTTAGAGTCAATTTAAATTGCTAATATCTAAGTATAAAACCTATGTACATAATCATTTTTTATCTGTAGTTTAACCTTGTTCTAGGGAAACACTGGTGTGAAGCTTCATGTATTTCTAGTTCCCATTAGTGAAACAGAGAATGTACTACATAACCATGTCTGAAAAGCTTTGCCTCTGGAGGGCAATGATTCATCTTAAAGAAGGAGACACCAGAGAAAGAAAAACGTGTTTGCAAAAGTTTTATTTTAAAGGATCAAAAATAAATATTGCACATACACACTTGAGAAAATGCACTGATGGTGTATTAGTATTCTCTAATGCATACTTTCAATACATGGCACCTTCATCTTCTTTATTTAGAAAATAAATTGTTATTGGTCCATAACTGGTATGCACAGTCTCTGTGACTCTGGCAAATAACCAGGAGCCAAGTCCATATAAGAAAGTTGGAATACCTAGAAAACAAATGGATATGTTATTTGTGAACATCAATACTTATTAATCACACGCCCATGTATTTGTCATGCTCTTAATCACACAACCATCTTCTGCAGTGTTGACAAGTTGTAACAATATAAAATACAACAATACCAACAATGATTTTTTTAAGAACAACTACTCATATGTGGGACTGAAAGATTTTAAAATTATGGAAGTAAGGCTGATATAGATAGTAATTCAATGCATTTTCCCAATTCATTTTCTTGAGGTAATTATGAAGTAATTCTTTCCACACATAAGCAAATGGAAAAGAATACTCATTAATTTAGTTGTAAACACTCTTGATTATTAGCCTTAAGCTAGAATCACTAGGTCAACTCTACTGTCCTTTAAGTTAGATATTAACACTGGTAGATAAAGTAATCCTTGTACAATTTGAAAGGAAACTGGGTCAAATAGCTGTCTTTAAAACCTAAAATAAAACCTTAGTCTAAGGAAGATTTTAGTGTAATAGGCGTAACAAAGTGTATTTTCTTTCTGACACTACCGTATCTGCATTTCTACAACTGAACTGAAAATTACCTTGCTCTAACCTATTTGGAGTATTAGTAGATTTTAACACATGGCTGTGGTAAGATTTGGCTTCCTTATTTGATATTCACTGCAACTTGCTGTACATGAAAGCAAACACAAATCCACCAAGAGATATGAATTAAGCACGCATATGCATATGATTCTAGGTTGGACACAAAACAAACTTTCATAATTCCTATTTTTAAGACACTTATTTTAAACTGATGACTATTAACACATGAAAAACCTGCATCAA